TTTACAATTTTAAAAAAAACTGAATAGTTAATAAAAATTAAAAGTTAAATTAGTTGTAGATTAATATAAATAATAAAAAAATAGTTTTATACAATTTAAAAACAAAATTTATATCGTTTACAATTTTTAAAAACGCTAAATAGTTAATAAAAATTAAAAGCTAAATTAGTTGTAGATTAATATAAATAATAAAAAAAAGTGTTATACAATTTGAAAACAAAATTTATATCGTTTACAATTTTTAAACAATCTAAATAGTTACAAATTAAAGCTAAGTTAGTTGTGAATTAATGTAAATTAAGTATTGATTAATACCAATAGATTACAAATGCGGACAATTCTTATTTGGATCATGTTATAACAAATCTGTGGCGAATCGTTAAACCAGGGACGAAGGTGCACGTCCCACCGTTTCCATTGCTGTGGATCTTTCCATATTTTGAAACGGATTATTATACGTACAATGGTTCTCTTACTCAACCACCATGCAGCGAAATCGTTACGTGGATCTTGCAGCCTGAGCCAATCGCGATATCATCGTCTCAAGTAAAACTTGCAACAATTATTAATCAAATATACCTCTATGTTATTTAATACATATTAATCTTTGCTATAGGTTGCACAATTTCGACAAATTTGCTCATCGGATGGTCCTATCTTGCTAAACTGTAGACCTGTTCAACGAGTGAACGAACGTAACGTGTACTTTTATTCGTAGTATTTGTTAAAAAAATTTCTCGCTTTTACATCTTTTTCACGTGAAACTATCGACTTGATTGGTTCCGTAAAATGTGTAACTTTTAATTTACATGTACATAAAATAATAAAGTCAGATATATATCTTTTACATTTTTATTGTAATAGTTAAGTAATCAGTTAGCATCGATATATTTACTAGCAGGGTGTATGAAAAGTAAATGTCACGACCACCACAGCATAATTCCACGCTTTTTAATTTAGCATTAACATTTACTCCGGAAGTAGTAACACCAAATCTTCCTATATTCCTGTCGATATCCTTCAATTTTCATTTGTCTCATGTTCCCATACAGTAAACAATTCTCGAGTATCACAAATTTATTAGATTTAATATCACAAAATTTTTAAGTATTTTGTGCTATTTAGATTATTTCACGTCAGATAATTTAGTTGTTAAAGAACTTTTTTCCTGTTTCATCGTTAATGTGTAACACTGTTTTACTTTACATCTGATTGTGAAATGTAAACATGTTAATAAACACAATGTAAGAGCTAATGAAACTTTAAAAATGTTTTTCAAGAGAATGAAACATTTGCGACTCGTGATTCCTTTAACCATTTTTCTTCTCGTGACAAATAAAATACGATACAATAATTTCGCTATTTTTGTAAAATAAATTTCTACCTATTGAAAGATGTAGACTCACGCTATGATATTGCGATGTTTACATTCTGTATATACAGGGTGGCCACTGAAAAACTCAAGGGTTTGAAAAAGTCATAACTTGTTCATTTTCAATCTTTTTTATTTTCTTTTCTTGTAGGTTATAGAAAAAAATCTATTAATTATATTTCCAAATAAAATAATAAAAAATTTAAGAAACGTGTGTTTGTAAATGTTATTTTTGTTTTGTGTCATTCGGTCTTTCAGTGACCACCCTATAGAAAGCGTTTATATTCTGTATATGCAAGAAAAACATCGTTTCTCAACTTTCTTTACTTCTCTTTAATATGCTTGTTCAATAAAAGGGATCGTCTAACAAAAAAAAAAAAAAAAAAAAAAAAAAAAAAATGAATGAACTTCCATGTATGGAGTGCAATAATTTTATTTGTTTTCCTAACGTATTTTATGAATACGTCAAACATCTTCCAACAAATTTCATCAGAAAAATAAAGATGTAACAGAGATAAATACGCTCGTCACAAGGTATGTACGTGTATTAATATATCGTATTATCTATTTGGCGCGAATTATTGTAAGATGTACACATCTGTCTTCTCTGTTTGCCCGAACAACGTTATTCACAAACCAAAAATACCTTCTTACTGCCGCAGACACTATGACATAGAGAATACATAGAGCTTTTTGGTTTTGTCTTATTTGGATACTGATTTGTGCCAGTATATATGGATTATGAATCATACACGTATACATCGATATTGGGTACATTCATTCTTCGACGGTGTGTTTTCCCAGTAAAAAATAGTAGTAAACAAAGTAGTTTGGAACATATGCACTTGCCAACGTATAAATCACGGCGTTTTAAAAATGGCGCAGATTACAGACATCGCGGATTGTTGCGTGTGAAGTGAATTTCGCGAAGAATGTAAGAACAACTTTGTTGGTTCCGTTTTATTATCTGACTCTGGATATTTTATCGCCTAGAGCCTCCTCACGTCGTTTTAATATTATACGTAACCACTTACACGTGTATTTACAGATTCACCTACAATTATAAATTTACTATTTTCGAGCTGGTATCTCACGTATAAGGAAATCTCCTTTTCCGAAATTTTCGAATATGAATACCACACAAGATGACATCGTAAATGTTGATTGACTTCAACAAAGAGATATCAACATTTTATGTACAATATTGTAAATATTCTTAATATTGTAATATTAATATTGTAATACTCTTAATATTGCAATATTCTTAATATTATAATATTCTTAAAATTGTAATATTAATATTGTAATATTCTTAATATTGCAATAATAATATTGTAATATTCTTAATATTGTAATATTAATATTATAATATTCTTAAGATTGTAATATTAATATTGTAATATTATTAATATTGCAATATTAATATTGTAATACTCTTAATTCTTAATATATACATATTGTAATATTAATATTATAATATTCTTAAGATTGTAATATTCTTATTGTAATATTAGTATTGCAATATTAATATTGTAATATTCTTAATATTGCAATATTCTTAATATTGCAATATTAATATTATAATATTATTAATATTGTAATATTAATATTATAATATTATTAATATTGCAATATTAATATTGTAATACTCTTAATATTGTAATATTAATATTATAATATTCTTAATATTGTAATATTGTAAATATTCGTATCTCTCTCGTTCGAATTTCGCGCGATATTTTGTAACGAGACACACGCACACATACAAGGGACGGGATGGTTACGAGAAAGCACGGCTTTCAATACTCTACAATACTCTACAATAAACGTTGCAACCATCGAATGTTCTTAAAAATAAGCTATCTGCCAGAAATTCTGCAGGAATTCTGTTTCGTTGAATCTCCCGCGAAATTTTCTCGGAATGTTTATTTATTATCACGTGAATCGTTGTTCCCTCGATCGATTTTCGACTGCAGCATCGTTGAAACTCAGATGAAACGTTAAAATAATGCATTTGATTTCCTCTTAAGCCCAATCGAACTGGGAACTGGAAATTGGTTTCTCCTTCGTTTCGTATTATAGTTTTGGCATCTCAATCCGCTTGCATGTCCCTTATCGTTCGACAAAGGAAAGCCGAAGTTATTATACCGAATGTCTGAAACATACGCGCGCATGTACGATTAGATTTCAAACATTTTAAACCTTGTACATTCTACGAAAACATACTTGTATACCAGCCATCGCCATGCCCAGAAATACTAATGTGAAGCTCTCGCATTGTAACCAACTCGTAACTTTAGGGAGACAGCCCTGTAAACATTTTACAATACGAAAGATTAATTTTAGAAGATTTAGTTTCAAACTTCAATTTCTGATTATTGTTACCGCGGTCGATCATAGGTGTTCACTGTGCAGATTGACATACAGTGAGCAACAAAAGTATTCGAACGGCATGACAGAAAATAATTGATTATACAAAAATTGTATAATAAATTGCAATTTATTAAAACAAATTGTTCTTATACTATTGTATATACATTTGCTAAATGTATGCAAAGTTAGAGATAAATTAAACCATAAGTAAACAAATTACATAACATCTTTCACGGATAAGTACATATAAGGCATAACAAAAGTATTCGAACGCAATTTTAATAGTCATCGAATGCAATATACGTGATTATATTGCATTTTAATATTTAGTTGGCTTTAATAACCTCTGGAAGACGATTTTCTATACTATTGACTAACTTTTTGGTAACACTTGAATCCATAGAATGCCACGCTGCTAGGATGTTTTGTTTTAAAGAATCTTTACTAATATTATTTCTTTTAAGTCTCCTATCGAGTTCTTCCCATAAATGTTCGATGGGATTTAAATCAGGGCTCTGTGGTGGGTAATGTACGGGGTACATTATCTAAGATCCATTCTTGTACTATTTTTGTCAGAGACAAGTAAACCCGAACGAGAAATTATTGTTGAATTGCACAAAGAAGGTAAATCATATAAAGAAATTGCTTCTCTTCTCTTCAAGCAGAAGCAAATCAACAATTCATTATATAATAAAAAAAGTATAATACGAACGGAAATGTTGCAAATGAACAAAGATCTGGGCGTCCAAAAAAATTAATACCACGGGAAGAAAAATTGCTTCTGCGTGAAATAAAGAAAAATTTACATCTGCTCCAAAATTGGCAACAATGGTTGTTACAAACTTTAATAAAGAAGTACACGCCCAATTATGTCGAAGAATGTTATGGAAAAACAATTTTCCATAATAGAGTCCCACGAGAGAAACCATACATTAGCAAGAAGAATAAATTACTTCGTTTAAAATTTGCCAAAGAGTATATAAATAAGGACATAAATTTTTGGAACATTGTTATTTTTTCGGATGAAAGTAAATTCAATTTATTTGGGTCCGATGGTAAGAGAATAGTATGGAGGAAGCCAAATAAGGAGTTAGATTCAAAAAATTTGAAGTCTACTGTGAAACATGGTGGAGGCTCCGTAATGGTATGGGGCTGCATGTCCGCTAATAGGCCTGAAGATCTCGTATTCATCGATGGAATCATAGATAAAACTAAATATTTAAATATTTTAAAAGAAAATTTAATCAATAGTGCCGAAAAATTAAATGTGTCAAGAAATTTTTGCTTCCAGCAGGACCGAGATCCTAAACATACGGCCAAAATAGTACAAGAATGGATATTAGATAATGTACCCCGTACATTACCCAGCCCACCACAGAGCCCTGACTTAAATCCCATCGAACATTTATGGGAAAAACTCGATAGGAGACTTAAAAGAAATAATATAACGAGTAAAGATTCTTTAAAACAAAATATCTTAGCAGTGTGGCACTCCATGGATTCAAGTGTTACCAAAACTTAATCAATAATATAGAAAAAAAATTGTCTTTGAGAGGTTATTAAAGCTAAGTGTGGCCCAACTAGATATTAAAATGTAATATAATCACGTATATTGCATTCTATGACTATTAAAATTGCGTTCGAATACTTTTGTTCGAATATGCCTTATATGTACTTATCCGTGAAAGATGTTATGTAATTTGTTTACTTATAGTTTAATTTTTCTCTAACTTTCCATACATTTATCAAATGTATATACAATAGTATAAGAACAATTTGTTTTAATAAATTGCAATTTATTATACAATTTTTGTATAATCAATTATTTTCAGTTCGAATACTTTTGTTGCTCACTGTAGGTAGGTACATACTTTCTTAATTTATCTGAATCTTCGGCTTTTATTCAAAATAAAAGTCGACTAATCAAATTGATAAAATAAATGTCAGAGATTTTGATAATTTAAATAAACTGTCGTTCAAAATCTTCAATGATTCAATGAAATGATCCTTCTTCATCCTGTGTCACAATACACAAAATGCCGCGTTCACACTGTTGTCGGGGAACAATTTGCGAGCAGTTTCAGCGAATTGCAACAGCGAACACTTATTTGCTCGGTAAACTGTACATCAAAGAATCTATTTGCGAACTCGAAACATGTAGATACATTGAGAGCTGCGACAAGTAATGTCGCATTCAAGTTCTATCTCCTATGAACTCACCGCAAAGCCAGGTCCAAACTGGACAGAAACAGCATTGCATCTGCACTGGAGTTCGCAAACAATTGCTATCTTGTTTTCACTCGGTGTTTGTAGGCTGAAGAGCCGAAGGGAAATAATCGTCTAGTTTGGTCTAACATACCTAAGAGTGAGTAAACGATGTTTACAGACATCCAGCCACGTTTCCAATTCACAAACAAATCGTTCGATGTACCGTTTCCCGAACAAACATTGTTCGCTATTTTTTAAGCAATTTGTTGCATGCTGTTCGTTTTTCGCTAAACTGTCCACATACTACTCAAACTATTCGCGAGCTGCTCTAATAATAAGTAAATCTAGAGACGATTTAATAAATGTTTTTCGGTTCGTATTAAACAGTATTTCAACTGTAACAAATATATAATCCTATTACATAAATCGGAAAAATATATAATAAAATATATAAAATATACAATATATATATATAATATATATATATATATAAAATATACAATATATATATATAATATATATATATATATATAAAATATACAATATATATAATATATAAATATATAAAATATACAATATATAATATATAAATATATAAAATATACAATATATAATATATAAATATATAAAATATACAATATATATGTAATATATAAATATAAAAAATATAAAAATATAATAAAACATAAATATA